CTGATGGAGAGGGGCAGGGGAGGGTAAAACTAGGATGCTGTGCAGGCAGCTGACTGCCTCCTTATCAACTGATGATGCCATTTGTTGTCAGGACTTTGGCGGCTAGAAGGTCGTAATGGTGCACAATGAAAATCTGTGGCTTTGTGTAACTAAAAGGCAGGCTTGTTCCACCTGTTGGCTTGTGTACAAGTTTTGGGCAATTTTTAGACATTTTTCCTAAAAAAAAAAAAAGAAACCTCAAGGCACCCCAGGGTGCCTGGGCACCCTGGTTGAGAAAGGCTGAGCTAGGGAATCAGGTTACTAACCCAGTGTAAGGTGTAATACAAAGCATATGTGGGGTCTAGATGAGTGAATGATAGTAAAGACGGGGATCTCAAAGGTGGCCCCTGACATCACCAAAGGGCCATATACAGTGGGGATCGAAAGTTTGGGCACCCCAGCTAAAAATTTGTATTAATGTGCATAAAGAAGCCAAAGAAAGATGGAAAAATCTCGGCATCAAATTACAGATTAGACATTCTTATAATATGTCAACAAAAGTTAGATTTTATTTCCATCATTTACACTTTCAAAATAACAGAAAACAAAAAAACGGCGTCTGCAAAAGTTTGGGCACCCTGCAGAGTTAATATCTTGTACTGCCCCCTTTGGCAAGTATCACAACTTGTAAACGCTTTTTGTAGCCAGCCAAGAGTCTTTCAATTCTTGTTTGAGGTATCTTTGCCCATTCTTCCTTACAAAAGTCTTCCAGTTCTTTGAGATTTCTGGGCTGTCTGTCACGCACTGCTCTTTTAAGGTCTATCCATAGATTTTCAATTATGTTGAGGTAAGGAGATTGTGAAGGCCATGGCAAAACCTTCAGTTTACGCCTCTTGATGTAATCCCCCGTGGATTTCGAGGTGTGTTTAGGATCATTATCCATTTGTAGAAGCCATCCTCTCTTTAACTTCAGCTTTTTCACAGATGGCATCAAGTTACCATCCAAAATTTGCTGAAATTTTATTGAATCCATTTTTCCTTCTACTCGTGAGATGTTCCCTGTGCCACTGGCTGCAACACAACCCCAAAGCATGATTGATCCAACCCCATGCTTAACAGTTGGACAGAGGTTCTTTTCATTAAATTCTGTGCCCCTTCTTCTCCAAACGTACCTTTGCTCATTCCGGCCAAAAAGTTCAATTTTAACCTCATCGGTCCACAGAACTTGTTTCCAAAATGCATCAGGCTTGTCTATATGTTCATTTGCAAAGTTCAAACGATGATTTTTGTGGTGAGGACGTAGAAGAGGTTTTCTTCTGATGACTCTTCCATGAAGACCATATTTGTACAAGTATCTCTTTATAGTGGAATAGTGTACCACAACTCCAGTGTCTGCCAGATCTTTCTGGAGGGATCGTGCAGTCAAACGTGGGTTTTGAATTGTTTTTCTCACAATCCTGCGAGCTGTTCTGTCTGATATTTTTCTTGGTCTTCCAGATCTTGCTTTAACTTCCACTGTTCCTGATGACTGCCATTTCTTAATTACATTCCGAACAGAGGATATTGACATCTCAAAAAACGCTTTGCTATATTCTTATAGCCTTCTCCAGCTTTGTGAGCGTCAACTATTTTCAGTTTCAGTTTTCTAGACAACTGCTTAGAAGAACCCATGGTGCTGATTGTTGGGGCAAGGTCAGATGAGTCTGGGCATTTAAAACCTTTGAGATTGACATCACCTGGTCTTCCCAGACGATGATTAAGACCATGACACTGGCAGGTCTCAGCTTTGCAAAGGGGGCAGTGCATGCTATAAATTCTGCAGGGTGCCCAAACTTTTGCAGATGCCATTTTTTTGTTTTCTGTTATTTTGAAAGTGTAAATGATGGAAATAAAATCTAACTTTTGTTGATATATTATAAGAATGTCTAATCTGTAATTTGATGACTTTTGGAGATTTTTCCATCTTTCCTTGGCTTCTTTATGCACATTAATACAAATTTTTAGCTGGGGTGCCCAAACGTTCGATCCCCACTGTATATTATTCATTATAGGTAATGCTACAGAAACCTGTTATAGATTGAAGACTTACTAGAGGAAATGGCCAAAGATTGACTGGAGTGGTTGGAGACTGGAGTCATGCTGCAGGAGAACCTCATAGACTGGGAAAATGTCACAAGAAATGCTAGAAATCACTGCTATTAAAACCTCATTACAAATCAACATTTTTACTAATGACTTATGGAGTCCAAGGGCCACACTGCAAAGACATAAGGTCCACATGTAACCCTAGTGACACCCATAAAATTGGGAAAAAGGCTCATTAAGCTGGCCATACACAGATTAACTTTTGGCCGTTTCCTGCTGCATTGGATAAAATTTGATCTGTGAGTGGCCCTATTGGTACCACCCATAGCAATATTCCCAACGCTCACCTTCCAGAAAATGGCTGAAGAGTGGGTGGGTGCTGTAGCGACCACCGGTTGGAGACTGGAAAGACCTCAAAGCAAGAGATATGTCACCAGCACATCAGAAAACTCCATAAAAGGGTCCAATGCTTTATTGAATGAACACATCAGAGAGAAGATAGCAACGTTTCAGAGCCACACAGGACCCCTTCATGGTCACATGTTTGATGAAGGGGCCCTGAGTGGCTCCAAAACATCGCTATCTACTGTCATGTAATCATTCAATAAAGCATTGGACCCTTTTATGGAGTTCCCTGGTGTGCTGATGACATATCTCTTGCCTACTAGCACCACCAGACTCGACCAACCCCGATCTCAAGTTCTAAGGAGCCAGAAGGAAAATTGCTGGCCGAATAGTGACATTCTGCCAGCTGTCAGAATACAATAGCCCAAACACAAGAACAAACAGGGAGCTGGATTCAGAGTTTCTAAGGGTCACTGAAATTGTCCCTGAACACAAGGGCTCTGGTTTGGTAGAACAGCACAAAAAAGGGGACCACCCCAGGAAAATGACCCACAGTTGAGAATCCACATACATGCAATCCAATGAGAGTGCCAAACAAATATCCAGGAGTCCAAGGTAATTTAATGATAAAATTGATTCATAGCAGAGTAAAGCCAATGCGTTCCAGGGTCCAACTCCTCCTTCATCAGGGCTTTAGAATTTTGACCATAATTCAATAAACTCAGGTGAGCAGACTGCAACTAAATCTGCCCTTGCACTGATGTAACGTGCCCTCTTTAAACTTTTCAAGCAATAAATCACAGTGCAGATTTACTAGAGTGTGTCATGTGGTCCCATCCTGAAGGGGAATGACTCTTCCCTGACCTCCAGGAACACGAGACTCCTGACCCCTTCCTGGTGGACCCAGCTCCTCATAATCAACAGAACCTTGGTAAGGGGCTCTCCCGAAGAGAAACCCCCATGGTAGGGAAGGAAAGGAACCTAAGGGCCTCATCAAGTTTTATGACTCCTTGTTTGAAGCACTAAAAAAAAGACAGTACTTTGCCCTACCGAACCTTGTTGAAGGATCTACAGAGGATGCCACCAGACCATCGATCTGAACAGCAACCTGGTTGGGTTGCACCGCTGCTGAATTGCTACATCCCTTGTAAACTAACTTCGTTCCAAGACAGCTAAACTGCATCTTTGTGTATTTGGGGCTTATTTTAAGATTTGCTAGCAGCATGTCAGGAAGGTTTAACTCAATTTGCATAAAGTGACTCAGGACTCCATAAGAGGGTCACTTATTTCCCTCTTTCAGAAATAGAAAAGCAATGTCATGCGACCCTCCCGGAATCCTCCTTCCCTCTCTGATCAGGTCTGTATTTTACAAAAGCATAGAAAAATACCTTTTGATATGCCAGAATTGCTCTTGTGGACATTTTTTTTTAACTTATACCACAAGCGATGGTGTCAGCCCTGCCCAATTGTCTTTTGTTAAATACTGAATCCCTCCCACTCTCCTCATTTCCTAGGGAGTAATTGTTCAGTAGTCCATGATAAGAACTCATGAAGTGTACTCAGGACATAAGACACCTCTGAATTTGTGACAAGATCAACAGATATTTTTTTTTTTTTTCATCCAACAGATATAAGATAATGCTTCAAATGGTATATTTAACAGATCAAAAGAGAACAAATAGAATAAGAAGATTAATAGAGTTTACATACACTTTATGACATGGAATTTTTGTTTTATTTTTGCATTTAATTACACCGCTGGTGAGTGATTGGAGCATTTGTCCCATGGTCACCATTACATTTTGTTTTACAGTAAAAAAATAAAAATAAAAATATAAACAACCAGCAATAAAATACAACTTTTCTCTTTACCTATAGCTAAACAGCTCTCCTTGAAACAAGTCTAAGTCGTACCTTGATAACAGGTTCTTTCCTCTTTGTTGATTGACTGTTGCAGATTACAGACTAGAACAGCCAGTTAAAAAAAAAAAAAATTGCCAAATATTTTAACAGCTGAAATGGATTTCAGAGGAGAAATCTGAACCCAAGCTAAATAACCTTGAGAATGTCTTCATTTAAGCAGAGCCAGAGTATATGGGTCCCCAAATGCTTAAAGGGCCCCTAAACTTAAAAAAAGAGTTGCCAGCAATGGCATTTTGATAACAGTGGAATGACTTAATATTTCTTATGTAGGTCTAGGTACCATTCAAAGAAACATCCTTAAAGGGTGAGTCCACCTGACTAGGGTTGGGAATTATGGGGGATCCTACTGTTGGAGTGACATATAAGCAGCTGTACTCTAGGGACTCACTGAGCCTACCAGGTTCTGAAGATAACCTAAATATCACTTTTAGCAGGACTGACTGTTTGGGGTCTATTATTAAAAAATTGTGTTGGAGGAATGGCATAAGCATTTGACCAGCCCCTACAAGTTTTGACCTTATTGTGCTAACTGCATTAAGGCCACTAGATGGAGCTGAAGATCTGACGAAATAACTGTGGTCATAATTTGTGAGGGTTGGTTGAATGCTTGTAGCATAAGTCCAACAATTAAAATAATTATATATACAGTATACCACTTATAGTTCCTATTATTTCACAATATTCAAGATATTTGGCTTTACATCAACACCTGCTTTGTCGGTTTGTTCAGTTCTTTCAACCTTACAGCCAGAGAAAGGTTTCTCTTCCTTGTGAGTTTTTTGGTGCCGAAGAAGTTGCAGCTTCTTCTCGAACCTCTCCCCACACTCTGGACACGTACATGGCTTCTCACCCACATTACTGCGTTCCTGTATCACGAAGCCTAATTTACGGATGAAGCTTTTGCGCCATTCTGAAGTAGTGGTACTTAGTCTTTCACCTTTGTGAATCCTTTGGTGTATGGTCAAGTCTAATTTATTATGAAAATACTTCCCACATAGTGGGCAGGAACATAGCCTCCTCTTCTTGCTGTGGCCCTCTATGTGTCTTAAAAGATAGGCCCTGCTCATGAAGTACTTCCCACATTCTTGGCAATAGTGGAGATTCTTCCTGGTATGAAGTCTCTGGTGTTTAACCAGATTGATTCTCTTGATAAAGCTCCTTCCACATTCGGAGCATTGAAATGACTTGTCAGTGGAAGAGTGCTGTTCACATTTGTTGGTGATCCCCTCACCACCCTCCAAACTAGAAAACTCTGTGGTTTTTCCACATCACCTTCATGCTTCTTCTGGTGCCGTCGAAGATTGGAGTTGCTGACAAACTGCTTGCCACATTTAGCACAAGAAAAGGGATTCTTGGTCGCGTGGATTTTCTGGTGATTGGAGAGGTTTGTTGCTTTGCTAAAACGTTTCCCACATTCGCCACAAGAGTACGGTTTTTCGTGTATCTTCTGATGCGTCTCAAGGTTCATCAGGCTGAGGAAACGTTTGCCACATTCATGGCAAGTGTACTGTTCAACTTTGCCATGAACTTTCCTGTGCCTACCAAGACTCGATCTATGCTTAAAATGCTTTCCACACTCAGTACACGAGAGTGGCCGCTCTTTCAAATGGACCTTTTTTGACTCCTTAGGTTTCTTTGGATGGTCAGAAGGGCAGTCTGTCCCGTCAACATACAGTTCAATTTCAGCAGGAGCCTCTTCCTCACCTGACATGGGTTCTTCCTTAATGTGGAAAAAGGTATATTGTACAGGTGCTGGAGATGTGTATGTGCTAGGGTATGGGGAAAACTCTTGACATGGAATGGTTTCCTCTTTAATAAGGGTAGATGTGCCCAGGCAACAGTCTTCAAGTGTGGAAGAGCCAGCATTTGGAAGATGTTCTTCTTCTTTGCATATGCAGGGATCTTCTTTAATGCGAACTGTTATATACTCTGTAGAGTCTACACAGGAAGACATATCAGTAAGAGGAAGATGTTCTTCTTCACGCAAGAGAGAGTCTTCCTTACTATCACCTATTGAACATTGTGTACCATCTGAAGAGCTATACAAGTTAAGGTCCGGCCGATACCCCTGTTTCTGCAATAGTGCCCTTGCCTTCGCATATGTAAGAGCATATGTGTGGTCCGCAAGCGGGGAATACAATTTACCCATGCACGAGGCAGAGTTCTTAATATTTCCAGTTATACCATGCATAGAATTTGTGTCCATGTGCTTTTCAAGGTGTGGGAAATGTCCTCCTTCATACAGACTTGCAATTTTGGCTACCAATTGGTCACCTGCCAATGTGTAGTTTGTAGCAGTTATAACAATATTATAATCTTCATCCATATCATATTGTGATGACATAGGGGACTGGCGTGTGCTGCCTGGACTTCTAGGATCTGTTTAAAAAAAATCAGGCAAAGAATAGATTTAATTTTCAGCTTGCTAGGTTCATTTTCTTTTATCTTCCAACAAAAAGAATACTTCAACAGAAAAGCAAACCCCCATCCCTTCCCAATTAGGCTGAGCTTACAAAAAGAATGCTCCCTACCAGATGTAAGAAGCCAGTCGGTAATGCCCTAGCATTTACCAATTACTACTAATTTCCAATAGACACTAAAGTTTTAAAACACGTTTGCATGACCATCTTGGGGTACTCCTTTCTGATAACAGCCTCTAAAAGATTACATCTGCCAAACCAAATTATAGATGTACTTTATACCAGAACTCGTAGCATTAATAAGCTGGGACATTGCTGTAATTCAGGTTCTTGTGTGGTACACTGGTGACTTGGGGGCTCGTCTGGGATGAGATGAGATACAACCATGGCTGTGTGTGGAAGCCACATTACTTTAATGGGGGAGGCGCTATTTATCATTTAATCAAAGTTTTTTTTTAAAAGCACCCTTACCTGGTGATGAGAATGGCCATTGATTCTCCATTATATGGTGATACAGATAGTTGTGTTTATTTAAATATTCCCACTCCTCCATGGAGAAATAGACAGTGACATCCTGACACCTTATAGGAACCTGACACACACAATGATACAATCAGCATCCAGAAAGAAACTTCATGTTACTGGATAATGTCCCATAATTCCTGGCACAGCTCACCTCTCCTGTCAGCAGCTCGGTGATGTTCTTGGTGACTTCTAGAATCTTGTCGTTTTTCTCAGATGTAATGAAGCAAGATGGGGACTTCATGTCAGGGCTTTTTCTGCATCCTCGCAACCCACGGGAATGGCTGCTAACTTTTAATTGATCACCAGACTTCTTCATAATGATATAATCCTAGAAATTGAGAGATGCATATCAATAAGATGTTGCCAGATTCCTCCCATCTCTTCAGCCATGTCATGTGTCAGGTGACCTTTCCAGAATTTGTCTCCCCTCTCCAGTCAGGTCTGTTTTTTATTAATAGAAATGAGAGTGATGTCATGTGACCTCCCAGAATGCTCCTCACCTCTCCGGTCAGGTCTGTGTTTTATTATTAGAGATAGGAGTGATGCCATGTGATCTCCCAGAATCCTCCTCACCTCTCCGGTCAGGTCCGTGTATTTATTAACAGAGATAAAAGTGATGTCATGTGACCTCCCAGAATCCTCCTCACCTCCCCAGTCAGGTGTTGTATTAATAGGCGTAAAAGTGATGTCATGTGACCTCCCAGAATCCTCCTCACCTCTCTGGTCAGGTCTGTGTTTTATTAATAGGGATGAGAGTGATGTCATATGACCTCCCAGAATCCTCCTCACCTCTCTGGTCAGGTCTGTGTTTTATTAAAAGGGATAAAAGTGATGTCATGTGACCTCCCAGAATCCTCCTCACCTCTTCAAACAGCAGATGGAGATTTTTTAAAGTTAGCTTTATTATCCTTTCAGTGATGTTATTTTTGTCATCACCCATGCTCACAGAGTTATAGACATATATTAATAGGCTTTACTCCTCTAAAATCTGGTTTTACTCAAAGATTACTTCACAACTCCATCTAGAAACAAAAAAAATAATATCATTAGTTCATAAGAAAGGCCGAAAATCAACTTTTGTTGATCAAATATCAAACAATAATTTAAATATATGCCAAAATATTTCATACACTGTATTGAATTCCTTCAGTGAGGACACTAAATATACATCATTATCTCCTCTATATGTTTTATACATTAAACATTTACTTTTTGTAAAATTCAGTTGCTGGAAGCACCATTTACTTGGTTCCCAAACTTCAAATTTTTCACACATTCCCAGATGAGATTCCAGCACAAAGGAGACCATGATCCAGAGGTACTAAAACTCCACCAAGAACTGTCAAACTCCACCCACAAGACTCTTTCTCAATGGAGTTTGCAGCCTAAGGGCAAACAAAGTTAGAGAATCAGGGGCTCCCACTTAACGCTCCTCAGTTGAGTTATACTTAGTATACCTTGTGCATCTTTGGGTTCCTCAAAATGGACCTGAGATGTAGGATTATCCATGGATCTTGGAGCTTCAGTGAACACTACATGGAAGAACTGCTGAAAAGATTATCCTCCTAGACGTGATCTTCCAATTCCTTGTTGGTACTTGAAAATTCCCCGGTCAGCCCCCCTGAAGGACCCGAGCCCAACAGGATAAGAAGAAAAATTCAACTATGCAGGAAGTACACTACCCATGACCCTGTGAGGTGCTATTGTATTCTTGGTGCAGTGGCATTCTCCTCAAACGAGCTATACCTAGTATACCTTTTTTAAATTTGGCTTCCTCTGAATAGACCTTGAGCTGTAGGATCATCTATGGACCTTGGAGCCTCAGCGAACACCACATGGAAGGAAAGTAGAATTCTACTCCTGAAAAGATTATCCTCTTAGAAGTGATCTTCCAGTTTCTTGTAGGTACTTGAAAGTTCCCAGGTCTGCCCACCTGATAGAGCAGTTATCAAACACCCCAGGCTCAACATTACAATAAAAAAAACAGTACTAAGATGTTTTTTTTTCCAGCAGCCAATAAAATTCAAACTTGCCTTAAAAGTCTGAATGTGATTTGTAATACACCAGGACAAGAAACAAAATTCAACTTCAACAGGAAGTACTCCTCCCATGACCCTGTGAGATCTTGGGGCAGGCAGTGGCAACATACCTAGTGTCAGGGATCCTGTCGCCGTGCAGCCGTGCGACAGATCCCCTCGAGCAGCGGCGGTGCGAGTGTGCAGGCGCGGGAGTGTGTGGCAGTGCATGCACAGTAGCACGGAAAACTCGCGCATGCGCAGTAAGCGTACACGTCACGTCAGGCGGGGGCTATTTAAACCTGCAGAATAGTAAAATCAATGCCTTCTGGTCTACTACGTTCCTGCACATATTCCTGATCCTGTATTCTGATTTACCTAAGAAAGAACTCCACCTGCACCGACCCGGCTATCCCTGACCATTCGCTTGCCTGCTCCTTTGTACCTTATCTGCTCACTTGATACTGACCCGGCTTGTCTGCCTGGCTTGCATCCTGATACCTGACAGCTACTGCATCCACGCTCCGGTGTCCGATCCCAATCCGCATCCTTGTCACCGCCATACCTGCCTGCTACTGCATCTACGCTCCGGTATCCGGTCCCAATCTGCATCCTGATTGCCGCCATACCTGCCTGCTGCTGCACCTACGTTCCTGCACCCGCACCTGGCCTGCATCCGGATCTCCTGGGTCCCTAGCTACCTGCCGCCAGCTTCAGATCCACACGACACTCCTGACTCTGCGCCCTCTGTTCCCACTATCAGGGACTCCGAGCGGGAGTTGTAAAAGGACGCCCTCTCTCCACGTCAGGCTCCCCAACCAGGTATGTGATACCTAGTATACCTTAACTTTGGGTTCCTCTGAATGGACCTGAGCTGTAGGATCATCTATGGATCTTGGAGCCTCAGTGAACACCACATGGAAGTAAAGTACAATTCAACTGCTGAAAAGATTATCCCCTTAGTAGTGATTTTCCAATTTCTTGTAGGTACTTAAAAGTTTCTGGGTCTGCCCACCTGATAGCGCAGTTATCAAAGGCCCCAGGTTTGTAGGCAGTACTAAGATGTTTTTTGCAGCAACCAATAAGGTTCAAATCTTCCCTAAAAGTCTGAATGTAATTAGTGATACACTAGGACAAGAACCAAAATTCAACTATACAAAAAGTACACTCCCCATGACCCTGTGAGGTGCTATCTGGATTCTTTCTGCAGAGGCATTCTCCTCAGTTGAGGTATACCTACCATGCTTATCTTTGGGTCCCTTTGAATGAACCTGAGCTGTTGGACCATGGAAATTGGATCCTCAGTCAACACCAAATTAAGGAAAGTAGAATTCAACCACTTAAAAGATTATAATCCTAGAATTGATAATTCAGTTTCTGGTATGTACTGGAAATGTCCTGGTTCTGCCCACCTTCTGGAGCACGTATTAAAGGCCTGCAGCCTGATGTTAAAATGAGGACAGGACTAAGACAATTTTCCCCACAGCCAATAAGATTCAAACCTACCTTGAAAGTCAGAAAGAGAATGATGACACACCAGGAAGTATAATCTCCATGACCCTGAGAGGTTCTATCTGGATTCTTGCTGCAATGGATTACAACAAAGATCTCAGACTAAGGGAGACTGAGTGAGCTTCCCG